AGGTTATTCATCCACCATTATTCTCTACACAATTGTAATTTAAAGTTGCATCTAAATTGTAATTCTGCCATGGAATATTCAGCATGAGTCTGTTGCACATTAATGAAGCCCTCTTAGAAACAAACTGTTATTTTCAATAATGTACTGTCTCCTCCTGAGTTCAAACAAGAGATGAGGCTGAGTTCTCTGTGAAGGAAAGTGAGCAAATTAAATCTTAAAGAGAGTCACATCAGCTCTTCAAACTGTTACACATTTAAGATAGGCCAGTTTTGAGTACTGTAAAAGAATACCAGAAAAAGTATTTGATGTGACTATTACTTGATCAAAAATGTTTACATGTGACTCACTGCAGCAAGACGGAAATGCATGCCTGTCTTTTGATGAACTTCTGAGTCAAAACAGTGCAAGATGGAAAAAAGATGTATAGTTAGACTTTGGGGTCCCATGCATGGGCCCCATTTGGAGTCAGTTTACACACGTGGCTTCCTTTAGCCAAGTTGCTAAGTTCTCTTGAATTGATTTTCTTGTGACTACTGTGGAGGATGTAACTCCATTCGAAGCTTACACTTCCCAAGTGCACGCTTACACCAGCAACAGTCAGAAGTAGAGTTTTCAGTTGGTGCAAAGAGTGCTGTGAATTAGCAGAGGGAAATTCAAACATAATAAACATAATTAACACAATCCTGGTGCTTTTCTGGCTATAAAAGAAGAGTGTTATTTCAATATGCAGCTTTTAAGTGAAAAGAAGGAGAACCGCAAATGATGGAATGATCCTGTTTCTATTCAAGTCTGATGGGTAGCTCTTAGGGTATCCTCCCCCACTCAATGCCATTTATAGTCAATTATCTTTACAAATAAAGGGGAATGCAGCTTGCTTAAAATAATATGAATGCTAATATCTTTATTTGGGAATCGAGGGATTAATGCTAAGCAGTTAATTTTTTTTTACAGCAAATGAGAATTTAATAAAGAAGTTATTCAACGAATTCAAGGGTGCAGACAATAAGCATAATATTTTATGAAAATGACCCTCATATTTAAAATCTGGCATTATATGTTATGCATTGTAGCACCAAGTCCACATCTACCTTTTGGAAAATTAAAACACATAAATTCTGTTTAGTGTTTGATATGCACTGTACTAGCTGAAAGCAATCATCGCCCCTAAAACCTTGGGTGGCTTTTCACCTTTCATAAATTCTTGGGTAGATTCTATACAAAAAATAATTTTCAGCTCCGTGGCTCATTGTTATTCAAACGTGATTGATTGCCGTCATTTACTCAGCGAGGAAGTTAAGTGCTCCTGTCATTTCCAAACGGTATAATTGGGACGTTTCACAGGTCAGTGCCAGTGACAGGTTTGCGTTTTGATTAGTGTTGGACTGATAACAAAAATTACAGTTTCCTATGATTAATGCTTTCTATAGCGCCTAAATGTGCACTTCATGGATTGTGCCTAAACAGAGTGAATTTGCATCTTATTATTTCTCTTCTCGGCAGACCTTTGTGCCTCCAACTGTAAGTGTGCAGGAATGTTGACACACCGGTTTCGCATTGCACTTCTGCTCTCAGGTATTAATTGGGAGAGGCATCTTTGTGAACCTGAATCCTCTCTGTGTCTGTGTAAAAGAATAGCTGGGAAGTTTTGGAAGACTTTTAAAACCTGTTCTGGCTTCTCTTCCAGTTTAACCTGAGATTATAGTTCAGGGGACTTTGTAAGAAGTCTGACATCTGCCTCCTGCAGTTTTCAATCAGATCCCATGGAAATTCCCGTGCAATTTCTCTGCAATGTGCAGTGCAATGCATCAGTGATCCCTAATGATGAGAAGTTTGCAGGCTGCGTTTTTGTAAAGTGCACTTAAAACTTTCTCTTTTAAAAAAGAGAAAGCCTATTGATTATGTCACTTATGGTTCTATTTTCTAAAACATTGAACCGAATCCAATACCCCTCAGCAGAAATGCTTTGCTGTTAGCTTTAAAAAGGTAGAAGGAGCTTTAACTTGGTAAACCAGAAGAAAATTGTTTAACTTCGTTATGAATGGCCTTTCCGTCATTGTCAGCCAAACCTATTTTTGACAAATGAGGAAAACAGGCTTTTGAATTTAGTGCTAAGACACCAGTGTTCTTTTCCTGCAAGAGACGGATGCTGTATAAATCCCAAAATATTTTCCTTCCTTTAGACGCGTTTGTGAACAGGAGAACTGAGAAAAGGTAACTTTGGGTTCTCGATCGTTATGTTTAGGATGCTAGATGTGATATGTCTGGTCGTAGCTTGAGTTCCAGGGAGGAAGGTAAAAAGGTGGGGAGAGATTGGTCCCGGTGTTGGCTTTGCACACACAGTGAAAGAGGGTGAAGGATCCTGAATGCTTTTGGAGGCGGCAGAGTTGGAATTGAAGATGTCTGATTCACAAGCCCTTGCCTCTTCAAAAAGTTATTTTTTTACTCATCCAGGGTTTAAACTGAAGGGAACTGTTGGGTGAGACATGTTAAGTAGGGGTGGCAGGGAGCTGCTGTTTTTGGCCCAGCCTTGTTAATTAGCTATCCCCAGCAGAAAGTTGGCTATCACCACCAGGAAAATCAGCAGAAAGAATGAGGAGGAGGACGTGTACTCAGAAAGAAACTGGAAGTTTGCCCAGGATTCCTACTGAGATATCTGAACAACGTTGATTAAAAAAGCAGTGGTCGGCATATAAGAAATGGTTGGAATGCAAGGCTAAATTTTTTGCAACAGTCAGTCTGTCAATCAGCAAACTTTTTTTTTACTACTTTGGGTGGCCCAATGGATTACAAAAGCTGCAGATAAAATAAGGTAAAAACGGGGGGGGGGGCAG